CAAAGAATGTTTCTAAACATTACCTAACCATTGTTACAGTTGCACAGTTGTTCTTAAAGATGCTGAATCAATAGCTTTTCACCTACATAACTTTAAACCAAGCTTGAGACAGAAGGGAAGTTCACTTCATTCTGCTCTGCATGTCTTTGATGGCAGTACTTTTTTAGACTGAAGATGAAGATAAATGGCAGATCTCAGTAGGATTACTGAGCCTCCAATGTTGATCGATTGCAAATGTCTACGGAGATGGACCACACTCTTCCACAATCCCATCCAAAGTAAAATCTCACAGAATATAACACTTGCAAATCCTTATTTGTTTCAGGGTCAATTTGGCCTATCTATTTATGCAGGGTAATCTACATGTAGAAGAGCGCACTGGCAAAGGAAGCCATCATGAATTTTAGTCTATCTCAAATTCTGATATGCTAATTCAAACCAGAAGGGGGCATGTTCTCCACTGTGTAGCAAGACCTTCCCATCCTAAAATCAGTGGAAGTAAAGAATATTATGAAGTGAAGTCATTGAGGACAACAAAAATGCTGAGAAATATCCTTCTTACAAACCATAACAATTCACAAAGTATATTTTACTGATTCATTTCATAAAAAGCATCAGTCCCTTGATTCAATTTCAACATGGTTAAGTATAAGTGAAAGAAGTTAAGAGATGAAGCAAAATATGAAGTACTTAAACCCCACGCAGTGAATTCTCCTCCAGTCTCAGAATGCCATAAACCAATGTTAATTGCTAGCCCAACCTTTATTCACACGCAACTTGCAGTTGTGGACATGCTAATTAGACAACATTCATGTAAGCTGGGTCAATGTGATACACATTTCCGACACTGACACACAATTCCTCTGCAGGAAATATTTTGACTGCCATAGCTCCACTACAGCAGGACACCACTCTGTGCAGAATGTGTACTATCATGTGTCCAAGTGTGTCAAAGAAAGAGTCCTATTGAGAACACACAACTAAATACATCAATAGTGAGTCTGCTGTAGAATTTTTATCTAGGGACCCCCACAGTAATTATTAATGATGCATTGCTTATCATCATTCCTAATTTGAAATACTGGGATATATGTATCTAATTATGAATGGAAGCCCCATGGCCCCTTCTCCCACTCACCCCAAAACATACAAAAATCCCTGAACATAAAATCAGACAAGAAAGTAACATACAGACACAGACATTTCTTTTCCAGAAATGTGTAAAATATGCATGTTAATATGGAACATTTGAACACTTCGACCAACATAGCAATATGGTGACAGCAAAATTAATGATACTACCTGCATATATAAGGAGCTATTAATAACTGAGATTAAAGGTTAAAGTTTGAGAGCAGAAACATGAACACTGTGAATTTGCCAATGTTCCAAAACAGATAAAATATTAAATGGAAAGTTAATGTTGTAACTGAAAAGAAAATCCATACATTACAACAAACTAATGCTCTCAGCCAATGAGACAACACATAACTGCTTCAACTCTCCCATTGTAAAAGAATAGCTTTCGTGTCATGTTCCATCAATGGCACCACAGATCAGCAGGATGATCAATTTCACTGTAGCACTTTCCAGATCAAAGAATAGGCTTTCTGTTCAACATAAAAGCTTATAATATTCTACATCATAACTGGATACTGACAAGAATATGGAGTGATAAGAAGATAACGGTCTGCATTTTAGAGCTAAAGATAGAGAAATGTAAATAGCCATGTGTGTCCAAGGCAATGGTGGAGTGAGTTTGTCAGCCATGATGGAGAGATAGTGGGCAGACATGAGGTGGGTGGGATATTTGTTTCGACATGTGTGTGGGAGTAAATACTCCAACAACCATATTCTATGTTCCTCACAAGGACTGCCATCTGTAAACATGTAATACTTTTTTTTAAATCATTCACTACCTTGCTCACAGAAACAAATCATTAAATTTCTTATTAAACAAGCTCTTTCCATAATGACACACAATCACATTGATTATAGTTGGCATCTGTGACATGCCTAGGGAAATGGGGACTGTTCTTCCTCACATTCATAGCTTGACATGTTCTCTATAAAACTCTGAATCTGAAATACTGACAATTAACAATAATTCCCTTGCTAGATATGTGAAGGTATTTAACATAAATCTGTTTTTCAGGACATCCATTTGACTGACATAAATGTCTACCCCAATCTGCTGTATTACCCTGCCTCCCAAGTTACATTACTGCAATACAACTCCTCCACACGAACACCTACACAAAGGCCTGTCTGTCATGTCAACTGGTATCGCTTCAGGCACACATTCCCACTGGCACTCACATCACTAGTGACTAATATATACAGCTTTTCAAAAATACACAGCAACAATAATCACATACTTTTCATACATAATACTCCCAATTATGGGAGAAGCCTATTCTATAACCTCTGCCAATAAATCAGAACATGGAAACTGGACATCTCCAGATATGACCTGGTCATGACAGTCATTGACATAAATCCCCAAACTGACAGATTTACCACTGAACAGGAATACTGACACAATGACAGTATCTGGGTTGTACTCTTGAGTATCTGAAGTATGTGATGAGCACTGTTCACCCAGAGGAGGTGCCTGTACTGTACCAGTGCATGCGTGTTTGTATGGAAACCTGACTGGCTCCCTGTTGTCAAGCCAGCCATGCAGGGGGTTCAGATCAATACCTGTCTTTGTCTGTCAGTCTCATCAACATCACACGTTCCTCCTGTCGTTTGTCTAACTAGTATAACTGGTAATTAACTCAAGGTTAACAAATGATTGAGGTAGTGCAATACTATGTCATTATAATCTCATTGATATCAGCCAAGTCAGGGTTGAACATTTGTCTTCAATCAATTATCATGCATGGTTTTGCATCTTCTCACTGAGATTTGTAACATTTTCATGGGTCTTCTCACCGCTATTTCTTTTATGTTTTCAGCATGTATGTTGCAGAAGGAAAAGTCATGAAGCAACAAAGAGGCATATGAGACAAACTGCCAGTGACAGTTTAAAGAGATGTGAGTTACTGTCATCAGGAGACATTAGCCTCTCCCTTCCCCACAAACATCTGTTTGATCAAGAGTTTCATGAGGATGACAGTATACTTTCTCCATGTGCATGTAACATCATCAAAGACATCTCAACAACTTCTATACACAGCAAAAATCACAAACAGCTAAGTTGTGCAATTAACATGCAAAGAAAACTAAGGAAAGCAGATAAGCAAGAAATCCATATGTCCTAAATATTTCTCACTAAATTTCCTTCCAGATACTTTTATCCCCTCAATCTTCTAATATCACCACTTTAGGACAGTGTATTCATTCAAAAACAACTGTATTTCTATAAAATACCTGAGCACAGGTAGGTATTGTCACCAACAGAAAAGAGAACTACAATAGTACCATCTTTGAAACTGGTAATCACTTGCCTGCATCACTAGATTTCGTTTTATTGTTCATAAATAATAACCTCAACATGCAAATTAATAATATCATTTCTTCACAAGATACACAACCCAGAGAAAATCTGTTAAAATATATCTACATTTCCTATTTGTGATAGCAGATGGAGGTAAAATTCCCTGTATGAAATAAATGTAATGTTGGTATTAACAACTTCCTACGACATTTAATGCTGAGCAATATTTAATAAAAAAACCTTACAAATTACTTACAATCTATGAGGTCACATACAACATCAGTTTTGGAATTTCTTCTACTTGCTAGTGTTTATAGAGTGACAGTTCAGGTGTGAGGAGAAAAATATCTTCATTCATCTCTTACAAAAACACTCTTATTATGCTGTATAAAATGATTTGAAACACTGCAGATTGTCTCCCTCCACAATGGCTGGACGACATTTGCCGATCAATATTTAACAAAAGTGATGTATAGCGTGTAATGAATACAAATTAAATCTAGTTGAAACTGACAAGCAGCAAGCAAATTGCTATTTACCATCATGTACTCCAATTTTTAGCAGTAACTATCAGATTCAAATAACTCTTCATGATATCCAGATGAGTTTGGCCTGCCCAGATCTGGTTCAGTTTTAAATCATGCTCAATGTACAAGCTAGCGGTTACTGCAACCAGGACAATATTGATTGTTATTCTACAAATCATAATCCGCAATTTCATCAGGCAAACTTGCCACAAGCAACATGTATCACCTTTCAATAACCATTCTCTTTATCAGATAATCATAACACTGCTTTCATAGAATACCATGAAAATTGTAGTTCTTTTCTGAAATAACACACATGTTAAAGAGTTAACAGAAAAATATGTTTACTATCATCTACAACTAACCTTCCATAACAAAACAACTTGAATGTTACGTTTGTCTGTGGCATGAGAAATTAGGAGAACAGGAGAACATTAAATTGAAGTGAATAATACCAGATACAATTATAGCTTCATCTAAATTAGAAAATCACTTCATTAAAGTCACAGTACAAAACAACTTCTGGTATTACTTTCAAAAATCGAAACTGAATTTGTTTTAAAATGTCCATAGACATAGAACTGCCTTGAACTTGTATGAATGTCTATCTTTATGATCAGCAGTAAAGATATATGTAGTGAAGCCTGTCCTGCAACTTGACCTTAGATCTACTGCAGGAAACTGAGCATAAACAAAGGAAGCAGCTGGGATTATGACTATCACATGGCTGTAATAGTGTATCTAGCCTACAGTGTGTGTACACTCACACACATACAGAATACTGTCACAAAGTACAGTCATTCACCATATAGCCGTCAGTCAGCCAGAGGTCTTCCTCGTCATTGTCTGCAGGATCGAACATCAACAAACACATATTTCACCTGTGTTTCTTCCATTTCTCTGGCAAGTAAAGCTTGTTTTGTCCACCCTACGTTTGTAAACAGCGAGTGCAAAAGTAACTGCTATCCTAAATGGTATTGTGTCGCCATAGAAACAAATGTGAATGGTTTGAAGGTGGAATGAGGACTTACCTCTTCTTAGCAGCTATCACGCTCGGGGCTTTATTGGATTGGATATCCGTGGGTACCTGAAGATAAGAAAGGAACAAGGTGTCATTTTCCACAAACATTCCCCATAGAAAGTAATCCTGGACCTAAAATTCCATCCGGAAATCCACAACACAGTTACAGATTTGCACACAGTGTGCCCCGAGACCAAGTCATTTGCCACACTAAAAATATGAGATGTGGTTGAGTTCATTTCCTCCACAGGGGGGGACAGGGCGGTATGAGTTTCTCGGGGAATTAAATGGGTGGGGTAATTGCAGCGACTTGTGCTAAGCCTGAGAGTAAATAGAGCATGCACAAACTGAAACTGGGAAAGTGAAATGGAATTTTGACTATGATCTCAACATTTTGTCACTTCAATCAGTGTCATGCCAGCCATCACCCCTCCCTTTGAGTGGCCATGCTAGGTATGCTAACCCAGCTGCTAAACAAAGATTGAGCTGGGATATCTTGTAGCAGTTTAATAACACATAACTCCAGTGGTTTCGCAACAGGATAGCAGAATTTCCTTTCCCACAATTCTTCATTTTAGTTATAAATTTGCAAACAATTATTAGCACATGAACGCACCTGACTGTGAGACAACCTATTGATTGATTTTTCATGTCAGTGACATTTTATTTCTCTTGCCTATATTCAACATCATTATTTCATTGATGTGTTGTATATATATTTTTGGTTTTACATCTGATGAACAAGACATCATGGCCTTAAACCAGAATCATCAAAACAGAATTTAAAAAAGGCTATGACAACAGATATGTGTTATATAATTGACATCAAATTTAAATTAGTTTATAATTTTGCTTATCGAGTCTGATTAAACAGAAAAATATTGGTGATGATGAATGCATTGGAGATCTGTTACGAAGTTATTCAAACAACAGTGTTTCCACATTATTAAGAACTAAAGAATTAAAACATTGTAAAACCAAATTGACAGCTTTGGTGTGATGAGTGAACGCTTTAACCACTAGGCTACCCCACCACCCCTCTTTAACAATCAACTGATGCACAAAATTTAATCATTTTGAAACTAAACTAATGAATTTTTACTTGAATGATGCCCAGATATTTAAGATATCAGTCAAAGATATAAAACATTATTCCCCCAATACCATGAAATATGAAATTATAATTCTCACTTCAAAAACTTGAGGTATTTATGACAAGGTTTATATCTAACCTGTTTATATACATATATCAGTGACACAATGGATATCTGTTTGCATAATGTTATGTCTTACCTTGTGATAACTGTTTTCAAAACATAAGTGTTTATTAATTTTTGAAGGGGCAATGGGGAGAATATTTACATAACAGCCAGCACAACACTTCTGCCATTATTTCCAGGATTAATTGTTCAACTTGTTTTACATATCTGTTGCCTGACCATAGACAGCAGTGCTGACATGATCAGTGCCCCAGAGATGAAGTTTATGATTCACCCATTGCTGATTGAATTTGCAGAGATGAACCGGAGTTATGTTGGTAATCAGCTTAAACATACCAGGTATACATAGCTGTGCTAATAGTGAACAATAGCTATAGCTTAATAGTGCTGTTCATTTAGTGTTCTGGTAGTCCAGGGAAAATTCCATTTGCTGCCAAGTACAAAAAATAGTGCATGTAAACATAAACACTTTAATACTCATGTTGATTTTGTTAGATGATCAGTGCCTCTTTCCGATAGACATCTTTGGTGAACAGTCTAGATATCTTTGAGCAAATTTTATGTCTTGCATGCTTGCATATATCCAATTTAATATTGACTCCATGCAATTGCCCTCAAAATGAAAACAAAAACAGTTCTAAGAAAAAAACACTTCTTACCTACCCCACTTTTGTTTAATGAATGTATCTTGTATGGAATATTTTAGCTGTGGACTAATGCCACAACCAAGACTCAGCAACATGTTTCAAAAGCACAACAATAAGCCAGGTTGCACATACAGTTGCAAGTCCCTGATCTTCATTTTACAGCTACTACTGTGGGTGTATCTGCCCAGAAATCCCCAAGGTGATACAGAATCAAGCCTAGCTCTACTTTCAAAGGTATTTCATTGTCTTCTCAAGGGATAGAAAGTACAAATCATCAGATATTCAAAATAGGAGAACATGTATGCAAAGTTCCAAGAAGATATTGTGGGTGATCTAATAACTTCTGCTCCAGGTACTTCCGAGCTCACAGCAGTCAGCAATAGAGTGGTCTGGACAAAGTTGACAAAGGCTGATATCAGCAATGTCACACATTGTAACTACCACTATCACTACAAGCATTAGGTATTAGGGCTGGGATGATACACTATGATATTTTACCTGCGATATGATACGTATCACGATACACACACCTTGCAAGAATGACACAGTATTAAGATTTAAAATGATTTATTTGAAGTTATTTGTGCATAACAATAACACTATTGTAATAAACAAACAAGTAACTCTATCATACTTGCGTAGTTTTCTCCACATAAGTACTTAAACATGTTTAAGATAACACTGTTTTGAAAAAAAAGTTGTGTATCATTTTGTATCGATACACCAGTAAAATGTATCGTGATGTCTCAGCCCTGTTAGGTATGGAGGTTCTATTCTACTCATGAACAAAGGCAAATTTTGAAATTCCAAGAGACACCAATATGTCTGCAAAGTTGCATAGTATTTTATGTAGTGATTTTGAAATCCATGCAACAAAAACTTAGAACAAAAGCTTTCTTGTACATCCCCTCCTATGAATGTTGTGTGTGGGATGAACACTCTCAATAAGAATTATTTATGATTGTTAAAACATCAAGTAATTATTAGGCTATTCTTTTTGTAAATATTTCAAGATACAACTCTAGCTTTGTACAAATGGCTTACGTATTAAGATAAAAGTCCTACACAAGTACTCATAAAGTCTGTAAATTATATAAAAGAATCAAACAACTTTCCCCTTATGGCATTATTGTGAGAGCACATTTGCTTTTGAATGTTATATTTTCAAAGAATATAGTTTTTAGATTACTCATTCTTAAAAGATAATAGTTTTTTCAAAAACAAGTGGTGTAGAATGCCATGAAAGATTAGCTCTGCTTCTCTTTTCCTTTAGAAAATAATGTGGTATCTTCTATGCTGAAAGCGAGTCAAATGTTAAAGCTTAACCCTCACGTAGTGCTCTGGCTTATCATGTAAGGGAAATGAACAAGGTTGAAACTGCAATGAACACCACTTGCAAAAATACTATCTGCATGCAGTTGCATCTTCACCACTTGCTGTAATCATGACATACCATCTTGTAATGTAATTCCAGACTTCACAACTATTCATCACTTTGTCAAACCGTCTGTATTTCATGCCGTGTTTTTTTCACTAATGGTATTATCCAGTTGAGACTTGCCATTCAGCTGATTAATGGCAAAATGGTTCAAGCTTTTCTCTATTGAAATTAATATCAACAGTAGATTTCCTACTCATTTGTAGTCAATGTAATCATGAAATCTACAAGCTAGGGCATTATTTTCAATGCACAATCCAAATCCAAATGATTAAAGTAATGTTCACTCCACTTTCCAGGAAAAACAAAATGCTTTCTACCAATTGAGACATCCAATCCATGCTGTCTCATGTTTTTTGTTTCCCATTCCAGATTGATATAGGCAAACTATTCAAACTATTTTAAAATTCAAGTTGAACAAAATGTTTTAACTAGCTGGAAGTAACGTCTCATATCAATTCCACTGTAGAATCAGACTGCCAGCAAAGGAGTTACCTATTTTCAAACTGAAGATCTAATTTAATCTTCTTGGCAAATTAGTGAAAATTTACTCCACCTTCATACCAACTCTGGAACAAGCACCACCTGACCACTGAGGACCAGCTTTCTATAACTAACAAGCTGTTTCATCTTGTTGCAGCCTAGCATCTTTTAAACAATGAGGATAATCAACAGCCTATGGGGAGGAATCACAATACAGAATGCTTGATGTGCTAGCCTCATTGTGACTAATTATGAATGAGTTCCATCTAATGAAACCCATCACACATCATGTGTCATCCACAGCCTAGATTCTGAAGTGAAGGTAAAATTTTGATGAAAATGTGAAGCAGTAGTGTTTGGGCACGTTTAATATGACCAAGGTTAAAGTAGAGTATTGCATGTTCTATGTTCATTCAACACAGGAGGCAAGGAGTAACAAGGCACTGGCTTATCATCCTGGTCACAATGCTCAGGTCAGCGAGTGGGATAGGTAATTACTTCAATAACACAATACTTACTGATAAAAAAACCATGCCATTCTATTCGTTTGGAATTACAGCAAGGGGATAGGAAATCACTTGAAATACAGCCAATACATTTATATAGCTGGATTTTCCAACCTGCGACCTGCCTAAAATAATCTGAGCTGTTATATAATATATATACAGTAACGAGCAGAAAAAAAAGAAATGTGACTTTTCACAGACGTAGTTTAAAAATTTATTTACTGATAAATTCAGTTATATTTTTCATACATCCACTCTGGATACTGAAGTTTACATTTATGCAAGTCAATAGTCAATTAGTCTACCGTTTCTCTCGATGCACTGCTGAATATGGCGTCCCATGCTGTCAATCAAATTGTCTATGTAATCCTGGGGTAGGCCCACCCATATTTGACTAATGAGATTAGACCACTCAACAACACTCTTCGGTTCCAACTTTTCTAATTTGTCCTTCATAATCTGCCACACATTTTCAATTGGGTTCAGGTCTGGTGATGCCACTGGAAATTTCTGTAAGGTCACGTGACTTGTTTCAAACCAGTTACAGGTGTGTCTTGACTTGTGTACAGGTGCATTGTCTTGTAAAAGTTTGAAAGGTATTCAACTCTGTCCTATATGGGATTCCACTATGCCTTCCTGTATAAGTTGACAGTACTTGCGTGAATCCATCCTTCCTGTAATAGTTAGTAGCGGTGTTACCCCGAGCTTGCCTATACCATCCCAAACCATGACACTGGGTGAGAACTTCGGAACCATTTCGCAGCTACGCCCACCTCTTGACCACCTCTTTCTTGTGATCCTATAAAACTGAAACTTTGATTCGTCCGTAAAAATCACATTTGAAAAGTCTGTACCCTGCATTTCCTTGCACCACTCCAGCCTTTTCTCCATATGTGCTGTTGTCATCAATGGAACTTTCTTCGGCACTCGTTTGACATATCCAGATTGCTTTAAAGATCTTCTGATTGTCCATTCTGATACCTTAGGGGTTCCTTGATTGACGCATTCACGGCAAGCTGTTTTGCAGACCAGTTTGGGTACACCGCCGCGAGACGCGAGATACGTCGTCTGTCATTTGCCCCAAGAGTAGAACGACGTCCAGCCTGTCGCTCTCTCCCTAACCCTGCGTCAAATTTCTTCAAATTTTGGTAAACAGAGGCCCGATGCAGTCCTGTCAGTTTCACAAGTCTAGTTACGGATGTAATACCTGCTTCATAATATGCCAAGAGTCGATTTCTGTTGTTTTGTAACGTCATGGCAAAGCTTCAGTATCGTCTGCTAGCAACGAGGTCACGTGATCAAGCCATCCCGGAACCCAAGGGAGATAATTCCATACCAACGAGGCAAGCTACTGGTGGCTAGAAACAATGTATTTCGCCTTTTTTGATAGTAGGATCGAGTCTTCAGAATAAAGTTTTTTGTCGCATTTTTTCTGCTCGTTACTATATATATCACTATTCTTATCTATCATTATTTTGCCCATTATCCAAACAAGATCATCATATCTATCCCTAGGGGTGTCATCACTGGATATTAAAGTAATGAAATACTGACGCAAAACTATCACAATGTATACGCTAATAACAAACTGATAATTATTTTTTTAATTAATTAACATTAATAATCTTGACATGCCATTAATCAAATCAATACTAAATATGAACCAGTCTGATCCATGTATTGTTTAGAATTGATTTTCGTAACTATGGTTATCTGAACAGCTCCCATCAACATTTCTGTTGCAGTGGTTTATTCATTTGGTATCAGTATTCATGCCAAGTACACGGCCACTTGAGCGGAGTTATTATTGAATTTTGATAAACAACATAAATGCCATAGACTGCACTAAGAAAATCTTACACCAAACTGAGACATGGTGTTTTTCCCCATCAATTTTATAAACATTTTGAGAATGTGTTATAGATGAATAATGGGCTTCCAAAACTTGAAGTATTCATTACAATGACACATGACACCATTTGTTTGATCCATGTGATAATAAAACTTTACATGAACACATTTTTATCCATTACATGAAATTACAAACACAATGTTGCGAAAATTGACATGCTATGACAGCAAGCCATTATATTGTGGAATGTAGTTTAATGTCTCTGGAAACAATGAGGCAAGTGGACTCCCAGGGAGATCTGGCTGAAGAACATAATAACCCTGCCTTATCAAGTAGGATGCGCATATGTATAATGTAAATAAAAAATATTGAAATTCATAGATACCTGCTCAGTTTCACTGTCATCACTGACATGTAAGTCATCTGCGAGGGAGCTGAAATGAAAGGAACAAAACATAGGTATTTTAAATTATTTAAGATATTTTTTTAGAAAATTTATCTTGTTACTGGAAGTCAAGATATCTTCAAGGCCTCTTGTTCTGGATGAATACCCATGACAGAAATGTTTCATCAACCCAGTGAATACAAACATTTCCCATGTGGATACAGATTGTCACTAAACATACATGATATAATAATGTACATTATAATCATGAGCGGGACAAGAATTATAGATATATAACCTTGCACAAGTGATCGTGCAAGTTATGCCTACGATTAAAAAGATGAGAAATTATTTTGAAGACAGTGAATAGAATTACTATTTCCAACTCTTAACAATTCTAACCATATAACATAGAAAGCTATTACTTTCTGGTCAAGACATAGTAAATGAACATGTGGTAGGACCTAGTTGATCTTCTGGTTTGTGTCATTGACAATTTCAACAAATGTTGGCATGATACAAACATATAAATAATAAAACAGCCCCTGTTCAATCTTTCTACAAGAAAATCATGTTCATACTACAGGTTATAAATATTGATAAATTATGTTCAGATTTCATATAGAGAAAAAACTATTTACTTCCATGGACATTCTCAACAGCTGAAACAAGCAGATCTACATTGTAAAAGCAACTGTCCCTAAGCAGTGTAAGCCAGAAATTAGGTCAAGAGTATTAAGACATGAACTTGAAGTTGAAGAAATAATTGGTAGGGGCAAAGCATCAATGGAGGCAAAATACATGTAGAACATTCATCCATATGGGCATTAAATCATACTTCTATGTCAGACAAACGCTGTTAGTGAAAGCTGATGAGCCGGGAGACAACAACAGAAACAGCATGTATGATCATGTTTTCTTTCAAAACTGTTCACCTTAATAAGGAGAGTAATGAGATGTTTGTATACCCTCACAGTCAAATTACTCTGTGTCAGTCAATCAACAAGGACAGATCCTCTCTGTCCTTCGTAAACATAGTAACTACAGATATTCATGGCCATGGGAGTACTTCAGGGTCAAATATCCCATCACTTGTGAATATGATGTCCAAGGTATCAAAGTACAGTGAGTTTACACTTATGACCCATACTTTTCAGAAATAAAGGGATCTGTTGTGCTTTTTCATATAGGCAGCACTCCACTAGTAAATGCACATAAACCAAATTAACTACATTTGGACCATATTGAAAATCAGAACCAAATATTTTAACAAATTCAAGTGTCATCTCTGGTGAGATCAAGCATGTGAAGCTTCAGTTTCTTTGGTTCTTAAGGAGATGGTATACAGTTATGGTGCTTGCAGCTGGACAAGCTGCGCATGACATAAGTTCATCTGACTTCCAGTCACAATGGATGAATGGATGGATGTGTGGTGTGTGGTGGTGTGGTGTGGTGTGGTTTGGTGTGGTGTGGTGTGGTGTGGTGTGGTGTGGTGTGGTGTGGTGTGGTGTGGTGTGGTATTGATGATAATTGTAGAACAAAAGATGTTCAGCAAAAGGATCTTTACATTTGTCCAAAAGGGACTCACAATAATTACTGAGTTTCAATAAAACATTCAGCTTTCCTATGGTGCTCTGTGTCATCATCCTTATCAGTAAAGCAAACGTGACAAGTATCCATTGTCACTAAAGATTCTTTCATTATCATAGAAACTGCAAGACAGCCATTGGGCACAAGACAATTTTACTTCAGTAAAGGACATTTATGCTTCACTAGACTAATGCTTAGTCCCTGAATATATAATTTTGATAGTAACAAAGAAACCACTTAGATTGAAAAGGAGCCCCAGTGAATTGGGAGAATCTGAACCTGGGGAAATCTAGACTTGCTTCATTTTGGGCTTTAGCATTGCAGGGAGGGCTAGGCAGTAGGGGAAGTAATGTGGTTCAGGGACTGTGAGACAGATTAATGCTTTTCATGAAATGTTCACAATGTTCAACACTCAAATCTTCCAGCTCAAAGGGGTCACTTAAGAGAGGTGCCTATTTGATCTTAAAACATACAAATTTTGTTATTTCATATTTGTTGTGGATGTGATCCAAGAAAGATTAATGTTGAATGGAGTCCACCCTGGAAACCTGGTTATTAGAATTGTGTCTTGCAGGGGCATGTCAGGGTGTGCGTATTATTTCCTACCATTGTTTGGCTGTGTTGATAAGGTCATTGTCACACTTAACACTGCACCCAGATTACCAACACTAAGAGAACCTGTGTGCCAAACCACTGACTTGGGTTGTACCCCTCCTGCTTGCGGTAATAGATCCAAACCTGATTGTGGCCAGTTTGCCCCAGCAGCATCAACTCTTTAAACTTTTGTCAAGGAACAGATTAATTTTGAATCAAACAAATAATTGTTACAAACTCAGTCATTTCTCATCCAGAACCACAGCCCCTGTTGTGTTTGAACAGGATTAGTAAAGCATGAAACAAGCCTGGTGAGATCACGTGTAGTAATGTGGACATACCAATATCAGTTGTTCTGATCTCTGTTGCTTAAAGGTCATGTAGCATGTCTAACACACTCAACAATCTATTCTATCTGAAGGATATTTCCTATTCTGATAAACATTTGTATGTCATAGGTTCTTATCATAGTTTTAAGTGAACAAACCACTTGTGTTTATATGAATTTAGTAATATTTTATACTATTTAGGGGAAGTCAACACGATTTGTTGTGAGGTGTTCACTGTAGAAATTAATGTTAACCATTGAAATTCTTCATGTGATCTCCACCATGATCAAATAATCTGCAACAGATACATAAGCATATGCTGAAGAGTAGACTACTTCTATTGAAATATAAATGATCTAAATGTATCGTAATTTTCCTCTTCATCTAATTGCACAGCAGATCTGTAATGGTTCTAGTCATTACTAATGTATAAGCCTTTTACTGGTTACAACAGAAACCAATATAAAAATTCAGTAAATGCATCTGATGTACTTTATTCCGGCCACAACCATTTTCTGACAGTTCCAGAGTGGCCACAACCATTTCCTGACAGTTCCAGAGTATTGGCAGTAACAGAGTATTTCTTCTTGTAAGGAGACTCATAACAGCAAAGAACAATTGTCCAGACTTCATGATAACTAGTTCAATGTACCGCAAACCTTTTTGCCTTTATATTCCTACATATTTCCTAAATCCAAACAGTACTGGTTTATACAGTCTGTCCAATTAGTTTCCAAGTGACACGACACTAGCATAGGTCCATGAATGTGATCTGGCTACTTGGAGTCTAGACATGAAGAGAGGCATTAAATCAGTCACAACTGCACCAGTAGCAGCAGCAGCAACATCAGGAGGCCAAAGAGTGTCATCACATTTTCAACCTAACTGTCTCAGCAGTCAAAACCATTGCTCAGTTGATATGAAGAAATCAGTGCAAGGTATTAAATATGTTATGTCACGGTTAAAAATGACTGCCCACTTCTGACTGCATTACATACAGCAATGAAAGTGGGAGACATATATACACAAGATGTTAAATGTTGTCATGTTTGGACATGATTACATTTGGCAAGTGAGAGAAAGGTGTCTGGGTGAAACCAAAAATTAAGGAGAAACATTGTATTTTGGAATACAAATTATAATTTTATTTAACACATCTAAGGAAATCATAACAAGACAAATATAGAAATACTGATATAAAACAAGTAATGCTACAGGCACTGTAATGATTGTTTGGAAAAACAAGTCAAACTCTTCCAACACTTTTTATAATAATTTTCCAATTTTGCTAACATGGAACATGTCATGTTATGTAAGAAAAAAAATCATATCATAGGTACATTCCCTGGGAAATATGAATCCATTTCACACTAAAGTTTTATTTATCATTTACCATGTTTAGAGCCATGCCTAATCTGTTTGTGACATAATGCCAAATTCATCATGTTTCCTACTGTATGATGGCAGACAAATCAATTGAGTCTAGACTAGACAATCCAGTGATTGATGTTGTGTAAAAGAATCCATGAGCTTGCTGCCAACACCAGGTCAGAGAGTGTTACCACTTGATCTGGTTGGTTGCCACTTACAACCAGCATTGGTTCAATTCACAGGCCTTCTTTACAAAATGTCATGCTCCTTATGACAAGAAAACGGATGATGTAAAACATAGACATAAAAACATAATGCAATAGAAACATGATCTTAGAAGAAGTCAATACATGAACAACAGTTAAAATCCCAATTAAGCTCTTACAGCTAAATATTTCAGACTCCAAACAATGACACCTTGCAGGGACAACACAGGAGTTTTTCATGTAGTAACTAAGGTATCTCAAATGAATGTCCTGTTGCATGTTTCTTGCAATCCTCACAGAAAAGAAAGGGCTGATGTAGGCATTTGTTTACATGTTTTGCTGATTGGCCCAACAAAACATCAGCAATGTGGATAATGTCAACAATCTGGGCCATGAAGGAACACTTTGACTGCCAGGTAGGGTTGAAAGTTTCAACTTGGACAGACCAGTAGTAAAGAACGAGTAAAGAATGTCTCAAGACAAGATTAATCAATAGAATAACAAAAAAGTATACTTTTCATCACCAAATACATGCATGTAATTCAAACCTAATGTACCTGTTGAAAATATGTCATTTCTGATCAATTATAAAACTGGTAGTAAAATCTAATCATTCTTTCTGAAACGATAGATTTTCATTGAATATTTTTGGCTTATTCACATAAACAATTACATGTCCAAGTAACAGTTGATGTGAGTACATGCTGTACATTTTTTAATTTAGATGTCGTTATCCATGTCCATGCAAAGGGCCATAAACACAACGTAGCAATGAACAGAGAGCTTGGTCATGTACAGCACGATAGGCACACTGACATGTTGCTATTGATGTAGATAGGTATGTGAGCTTGAGAGCAGAGTAATTCACCTTACCCATGGTGTAAGCAGTTCACATCAGGCAGCACGGCCATTGTAACAAGCGGTATCCATAAATTATCCCATTAGCCAATGTACACACA